GAGCGGGCGCCGCGGGGTGCCGGGTCGGCAGGTGGGAGCCGTTCCCCAATTTACCGTGCTTTCATTAACGCAATACCCATCTAATAATGGACTCCCTACTAACGCAAGATACTAACGGGATGCCTCAAAACGAAGCCTGACTCTCAAAATATGTTTGTACATATGTTCTTTTCCAGCTTGAACTTTTCTTCAGTCCACGCTGAAGATAAAACTTGGCACAATCGTGGAATTGACTGTACTACTGCGGCAGAGCAGACAATTGCGGTCACACTTTCTTGTAGTTCTCATTGAAGAATATCCTATTATGAAACGTTTCATTTTCTTTTATTTCTTCGCCCCATTCGGAGGAAGATTCAAACCTAAAAATGATCGAAAAAATTGGAATCTGAAAATAAAAGAAACATCGCGTAACTAAGAAAAAAATGTAAGCTCTGGCTTCCTTAGTGAAGCATCCCGTCTGGCTATAATGCAATTTTTACGATATCAGTGTATTTAGTATTATAATTATAAACTGAACATAACAAAAATATTAATTACCCTTTTTAAATCTATGGTGCACGAGGTGCTATCACATAATTGTACTCACCTTCGCTTTGATGCAACATGGGTACTCTGAAAAATATTTATTTCTAAATCCTGTAATGGATACAATCTGCAATAGATGCATCTTCGTCTTTTTATATGTGAATGGGAATGCGTCAAGATGACGGATGGAAGGTAAGAAGAATTAAAGGAACATAGAATGAAGATGTATGTCGAATTGATAGGCAACGCAGATCCGTTTGGTTTTTTATGGTTCTCATACTCATTAATCGTCCTATCGTATGCGAGACAGGCCTAGCTTTGGAACTAAGGCCACCGCCTTTATCTGTGTGCTATAGAAATGAGAGATAATAAAAAATAACTACTGCTACAACAGCACATACTTTGTGGCATTATTTGTACATTTTGCAATTCCCGAAAATTGAGATAATATAATGTACATCTGACTGAAGTGATTCTGATAAGCGTACTTCGCACTACCCCACAAAAACTTAGACAGAAAATTTGAGACTGTTTAGAGAAAATATTGTTTTTAATATTCCCTTTATTTCACGTAAAAGTACGCATATTACTAATATTTTGGAAAAATTGATAATACCTCACTGAAATATATAATTTTGGAAAACATTTCATTCAAAAGAAAAATTTCCATCTTCAATATTGTAGTTGTAGGAAGTCTCCAAAAAATGTTTAACTATTGCAGTTTTCGCAAATTCAGAGAATTCAAAGAAAATGTAACATACGTCTTCTTATAAGCGTAATCTACTCTATCCGTTAAAAAGTAATTAAAAATTGGGAGGAATTTTTGAGAAAAAATTGAAAATAACATTGCATTTAAGGGAGATGACATGATATGATGATAATAGGTGGTGAAAGAACAAACACAACCATGCCCGAGGTGGGACTCGAATCCGCGATCCTTCGGTTCAGATATCGCTATGGCACTACTGCCGTAACGATCTCGGCCATCCGTGAAGAATTTCTAAAACCGTTAAAAGTCATGGAATTCAGGTGTGCCAACCAACCCCACTTGAGAGGTTGGTTGGCACAAGCCTTGCAATTAGCCGACTCTGGGATGAGATAAATGGGACACGACTTCCGTGATAGCGTGGAGTATTCAATAAATGCCAAAATTAACAATTTCGTAAAGTTTGATTTACAAAAATAAATGCAAAGGCTATGGTCTTGCAGAACAACTTCATATTTTCTGTTCTGCAAGACCATAGGGTCAGTTAATTATTTTTTCTTATTTTACATTTAAATAAAAAGCTTAAACATATTATTATTATTATTATTATTATTATTATTATTATTATTATTATTATTATTATTATTGACATTGCAATGATGTAAAATGAAGGGTACGTTTTTGGAATTATTTTTCTCTCCGATACGTTCAGAGGGTAGAATATATCGTTTCGCTGTAACTGAGTTGAATATCTAACCCCTTCAAAAATGTTGCACTTGGTAAGTGGCCACTACTGAAACAAATTCTGTTTTTAGAAATAAATTAATAAAAATATAACAAATTAATAATTGGCTATGTTTAGACAAGGGATCTGTTCAGAGATATGTTAAGGCAATTTCCCAATTAATTTGACATAACATATTCAGTAGTGCAGTGCAAATATTTTGAGAAAACTATGAAAAAGTTCTTAACTATGGCAGCTACTAGTGGCATTATTCTAAGTATAAATAAAAATATCAGAAAACGTGTTTTAAACATGAAGATGGTAGGCCGACAAAGAATGGAGCTGGTTGACAATAACAACCCATCCCAATTGAAAACGAACCCAAAACGGGATTTGGGATTTTTGAATTAACGATGGTCGTAGAGGTGACTAGAGAACTCGAAACTAAAAACAAAGTGAGATTGAAGGTTCAGCTGGAAAGAGGGGAAGCAAAACATTCCCTTACCCCCCCAAAAAAAAGAATAAAAAAGAAAACTGGCTGGCGTGTGACGAAGAGTAGAAGATGAAAAATTACCATCTGAAATAAGGGACGACTAACAATGACCAGATGCTGATAATGGCGGGTGAAAATAGTTGGATAAGACGTGAGATGTATTTCAGTGAGGGATATGGGGTAAGGTAAACTAAAGAAACTAGGCAAGGAGAGTAAAATGCAAGGTCACGGGATGGGAGAGAAGGCAAGGAGGGGGGAGAATCGGTGGGGCGATGAGTATGTAGGGCAATGCTATCTGGCACCATAAAATTATTTTACTAAACATCCGTAGCTCAGATTTGTTGCCAACACATTATTTAATGGACGGAAAGGAATTAGAATTAAGTCATCATGTATCCCGAACGCCAAAGTTAAGAGGTATATTACTGCAATGTGCCATTGATTGTTACGCAGTAACAAGAGAGTAATTTGATGTATGCGAAGTTTGAAAGTTAAGTAGAATTATTTCCAAGAAATTTTCGTGTCACGAACACGTGTTCCATTTACAATCGATCTCTCCTATTAGAGCGGCAGTAAATTTAAGTTTTAGAAATTGAAAAATTACACACGTCTACTTTTTTTATTAAAAAACACAGAGAGAGCTCAAATTTGCACTGAAAGAAACGAATAAACGCAATTAGAACGAAGTATCAAACAGATATTAGAAAGTTCTCAAAATCTAATATTGTACATTTCCGAAATATTTCTTAGCACTGGATTGACGCATTTTTATTGGCCACATAGCGCATCCTATCAACATCGGGTATGTTGGTGACAACGGATAACTTTTAATAATCCAATTCTGTCGTATATTCTTCTCTTCTTTCAGTCACTTTAGTGTAATGCCGACCTCACAATTGTTAAAAAATAATTTCCAAAGAAGCGAAATTATTTTCATTAATAATTATGATAATAATAATAATAATAATAATAATAATAATAATAATAATAATAATAATAATAATAATAATCCAAATCGTCAAAATAGTCCAAATAGGATACATAGTAATGAAGTATGATTGAATGAGAGACAAAGAAAAACAAAAGCAAACAAATAAAAAATTCCTTCTTCAAACTCAATTTGTCCAGCTCACTTTTCATGTGCAGTATCTGGAATGAGTCCCAGTATTTTGACGTAAAAAATATTCACTGCGTTAGCTACAATTAAAACAACAAGTATTTATGCTCAGAAATAAAAAAGGATCATGTTTACTCTCAATTTATCAATGGAAACACGACATAACTTAATCGCGATAAGGTCATTGACATGTGTTATCTAGGCTATCCGGGACGAACCGCGTTACTGACATGGTGGCTAACTACTGCTGAGAGCATTACGCTCTGAGGAAGGCCAAAATACTCTTGCCGAAACGTTAGCCACCAATGACGCAGCTCGTTTCAAATAGCCAAGATAACATAAACTCCGACCGCGGAAGCCTATGCAGCCACTCATTGACATGTTATTTACAATACTAGTAGTTTTCGCCCGGATTCCCAGCAAGAGGCCTCTGCTTCTCGACAATATTGGCGAGAGTCTGCTTCTCGACAATATTTGTAGATTTATCCCTCACT